AAAAAAAAAAAAAAAAACCTTCATCTCATGTTTCTCTGCTAAAAGAGCTATGCTACTTCTATTACCTAATCACTCCAATCCAATCAAAGTGACTTGTACCTCCTGCAGATATGTACTGTGCAGAGCTCTTTTTCTAAGAATGTCCTCCCTTCTTCCTCCACAGGACTATCCAATCAATAGTCTCACTGAGCATATTTTACACACCAATGTTATGGCTTATATAACATTGGCCAACAATATGCTATCTAATGAAGAGTCTTGATGCAAACAATTTTAAGCAGGCAACCATTATTTGAATGTTTCTTGCATTATAGTGCATGAGGCTTTTCTTTTTTAAGGGCAGTTGGAGAGGTTAAATAGCATAGCCAAGGTTAAACAATTTATATTACACTCCAGAATCAACTCCTGGTCCTGCTAAATTCTGAATGCCTAAACATCAGGTCATGCTGTCTCAACACAGAGGAGGGAATGCTCAATGCTACCTAAGAGTTGGGAAGTGTACTTGGAGTGATAATACTTGAGTTAAAGGTTGCAGAATCATTCATCCATTCTGCAAATATAAATGTCTACCATGTGTCATACACTGAGAAAGCACTACAAATACAGTAGGGTGCAAGACAGGAAGCCCCAGTTTATAGTATAAAGGAAAGTCAGGGCACTAGTAATTATTCTCACCCTCTCTTCAAGTCTTCCTTAACTATCATTGGAAGAAACTTATCCCTACTCTGAACCAGCAAAGCATGCTTTATTTTTATTAGTACATGTTTGCAGTACATAATGATTACACATTCATCATGGATAGTTGGTACATGTACATATCTTAATGCTTTTTATATCCCTTTCTTACCAAAGTTCTTTATTCTAAATGTTCCTTTCAAGAAAGAATACTTATCTACTGGAAGAGAAAGTAGTTAGAAATCTTGAAGACACAGGGTTAGGCAAACAGTGCAAGAACAAAAAACAAACTGCATGCAAAGTACTTCCAAGAATCAATAACTGGCATCTCATCTTGTTAAATCAAAAGAAATTACCAACAGAGCGAAAAGAAAACCCAGAGTGGGAAAAAATTTTAGCCAACTGTCCCTCACACAAAGGACTTCTATTTAAAACATATAAACAATTGAGAAAAAAAAAAAAAAATCAGGCCCTTCAATTCAAAGACCCAATCCAAAAATGGGCATGTGAGATGAAGGAAGACACTTCTCAGATGAAGAAATACAAACAGCAAATACACACAACACTGAGATTCTACCTCACTCCTGAAAGAATGGCTATCATCAAGAAATCAACCAGTAACAAATGCTGGCAGGGCTGTGGGAAAAAAAGAACCTTTCTCCACTGCTGGGTGGGAGTGTAGACTGGTACACCACGGTGGAAATCAGTGTGGACATTCCTCAAAACGCTAGGATTAGAGAGGCCAGGGAGATAGCTCAGTAGAAAAAGCACTTGCCTGGCAAGCGCAAGGCCCTGAGTTCAATCCCTGGTATCACAAAACAAACAAACAAAAAACTAGGATTAGAGGTCCCACTCAACCAGCTATCCCTTCTCTGGATATTTTCCCAGAAGAATTAAAAATATACCACAGCAATAAATGTGCACTCATGTTTATGGCAGCACAATTTAAAAGAAAAATGTATTTAGTACAGGGTCTACAGGGTCTCACTACACAGATCAGACTCTTAGTGATTCTCCTGTTTTCAGCCTCCCAAGTGCTGGGATTACAGGCGCACACCACCATGTCCAGTCTCAGTCACATCTCAATGAGCCCCAGGGCCGGCATGGTTCATTGGGGATGGAACCCCAGTTGCTATGCTCTGCCTAAGCAGGTGCTTTAGTCCGCTGAGCTATCTGGCTAGCCCTACAGCACACAATTTGTCATAGCTAAATCTTGGAAACAATCCAATTACCTATTAACTGAGGAATGGATTTAAAAAGATGTGATATTTTTCTGTAATGGAGTACCACTCAACTATAAAGGAAGACAAATTTCAGGCTTTTATAGGTGAATGGATACAACAAGCGACCATACTCATAAGTGAAATAAACCAAGCTTACATGTCTAAACATTGTATTGTTTCCCTAGCATAAGAAACTGAAAAAAAGTAAGTAAGATCCAAAATTTACAATAGATATTGTGAAAGGGAAAGAAACTGTTCAAAGAAGAATGGGGATGGGTGAAAGAAGAAAAGAAAGGGAAAAGAAAATATACATAAGATAATTGTACTACTCATTTCTTTAGTTCATTAAAAAAACACTGTGCTTATATTGTTTGATCAATTATGCATGCCTACATCTTATAATATGAACAACTAATGTGAAGATAACAATAAATATTAACCATTGTTAATCTATCTTGTTTTGAAATTCTCTATTATTGCTTTTTTTCTCTTTAAAATATTTTTTTTTAAAAAAAGAATACTTTTCCCTTTATGTTACTTTTCTTCCAACTATCAATGATAGCTGGCCCTCCATATCCCCGGGTTGTGCATCTGTGGATTCAATTAATCTCAGATGGTAAATACTTGAAAAAAACAATTCCATCTGTACTGATCAGGTACTTTTTCTTGTCTTTATTCACTAAACAATACAAAAACACTATTTACAAGGGCCAGCTGGATAGCTCAGTGGACTAAAGTGTCTGCTTAGGCAGGCGCTGGGACCGGGGTCTGATCCCTGGCTTGCCATACCGGCCCCACCCCCAGGTCAGGTTGAGAGGCAACTGAGACTGGGGATAGTAGCACACATCTATAACCCCAGTGCTTGGGTGGCTGAAAACAGGAGGGTCACTACAAGTCCAATATGTGTAAAGTGACCCTGTAGAACCTGTACTAAATAAATACATAACCTCCCATGCTATTTACGTATTATTTATACAGTATAGTACAAATACATACATACTATTTATAAGCAGTCTAGAGAAAATTTCAAGTATAGGAGAAGATGTCATATATTATAGATTTTATGCAATTCCTATGTCATTTTACATAAGGCAGCTGAGCATTTATGAATTTCTGGTAGCCTATGGCGGGTGGGGAGTCCTGGAATTCATTATTCCCTTACAGGTTCTGAGGGATTATTAACTTGTGGGATTATTAACAAAGAAACCACCACTTCTTTCCTTTCATTAAGCTATGTGCACACTTCCTATACCAAATACTGGAGTGCAAACTTCTTAAATAAACACCTAACTTATCTTGGTATGATGTCACATGTAATAGATACTTTCAGAACAAATTCTGTTTTGCAGACAGTGTAAGTGAACCAAGATATTTTCTATTTAGCTGTGAAAAAACAGAACGCTTTTATGAATGATTTCAGATTTGACACAGACATAGAAAAACCTGGGCTTTCAGTTCACAAAAGAAATAAATTCCTAACTACCATAACAATAACACAACAGCAAGGTACCTTTTTTGCTATTGTGTTAAGTATAAACTATCAGTTGGCTTCCATAAGGTCACATCATTCTGATACCCTGCCAAATTTATCTAAATGAAACTTTCCCCGTGTCTAGCTGTAGAATAACACTATGTATAATTATGTTTTCTCTTCTGTTCCTGCTCTTCCAGTTACAAAACATAAAGTGCCAGGATAAATCATCCCAAATAAATTACTGATCACAATTTAAAGGAATACCTCTGTTGGTTTCGGGTTCATCAAGTATCACAAAGGAATCCTTATCGGCTCCCAGCCGGGGTTTAATGGAAACATCCACTCCCAGTTGCTTTAGTCTATCCACCGTGAACCTTCTCACTTTTTCAGGTACTACAGGTGCTGCTGATTTAGTTTGCTGCATGGCTTCTTCTGGTTTCTCCTCTGTTTTATCTGGTATTTGCAGGCCTTCTTCTTTCCCCAGGGCTTGAGGGTCAGGGGCCACAAGGTCTCCAATCTGATATTCCTCATTGGCCATGTTCCTGAGGAAGCCAGATTCTTGCTGCAATACTGAGTTGTCCTCAGGCCTATGATCATTCTGTTTCTCTTTCTCCTCAATTTCTAGTCCTTCACTTCTCACTAGAACTGTAGTGGAAGTCTCATCTGATCCAGTAGCAATCTGAGCTTCCTTTGAGACCACAGGGTGTTCCTTCATTTCCGTTTCAGATCCTGTACTTGCTGTGTGTTCGGAACCTTTGTTATAGTAGTCACCATTCATTTCAGTTGCCTTTGCAGTGTCTGTAATTTCTTTATGATGGCTTGACTGATACTTAAATGACCTAGAGAAAGAAAAATGAGCAAAAATTTTAAAATGTCCTAAACATGAGCATATAATAAATCAATTAAATCAGTTCTAATGGAATAGAAATCTGAATGCTTTGTACTCTATTTTGTTACTAACTGAATGTTCATGACAATTATAACCACAAGGAAAAAAGTTCTTACTTCAGTAGTGCCATGGCATTGCCCTGACAAGTGGGCCGGGGTTTACGTTTGAAGAAATCATGAATGGTTTTATTCTCAGGCATATGATATGGAAGATTAAGTGCAGACTCTAAAAAATGAAACAAAAGAAGCAAATAAATACACTGTATATATTCCAATATATCACTTTATGTCAGTTAACAAAACAGTATCACCACAGCTATTACCAGAAGCAGAAAATAATTCTGCCTTTAATAAGACAGGACCTAAGTACAAAAGATTTCCCTGAAGACCAGGAGCGTTTCAGCCTAACTGAAAAATCAAAATAATCTGGGAAGTTTTAAGAAACATAGATTCTTGGGGGCTGGAGAGATGGCTCAGTGGTCTAAAGCACCTACTTGGAACAAGCTTGGCAAAGCACAGGGACCGCGGTTCAATCCTCCAGCACCACATGCCAGCCAGCTGCGCCCCCTGGTGGACTGAGCTGCCCCCCCCCACACACACAATAAATGTTAAAAAATAAAAATTAAAAAAAAGAAACATAGATTCTTGATTCCATTACAAAATTACTGAATGACAATCTTTGTGGGGCCTAAAATGTTACATATTTGAAAATCTCCTAAACTAGGCATGGTGGCATATGCCTGTAGTTTCAGCTGCTTAAAAAACTGAGATAGGAGGATTGCTTGAGCTTAGTAGTTTGAGACTAGTCTGGGCAAAATATTGGGAGCTTTTTTGAGCAAAAAGAAATATCCCCGGGGCTGGAGAGATGGCTCAGTGGTCTAAGGCACCTACTTAGAACAAGCTTGGCAAAGCATCAGGGACCACGGTTCAATCCCCCAGCACCACATGCCAGCCAGCCCCGCCCCCTGGTGGGCTGAGCTGGCCACACACACACACCACACACTCTCTCTCTCTCTTTCTCTCTCTCTCTCTCTAATAAATAAAAAATAAAAAAAAAAAAAAATTTTTAAAAAAAAGAAATATCCCGGGGGCCAGGAAGATAGCTCAGCAGCATAAATGCCTGCCTGGCAAGTGCAAGGTCCTGAGTTTGATCCCTAGTACCACAGGAAAAAAAAAAAAAAGAAATATCCCTAAGGGTTTTGATGCAATCTATAGATAACCATTACAAAGTTTTCTCATCCACTACAGCCCTGGAAATTTTCTCAGCTTTTCCTACCGTTCCAAGGAACAATGGGCACTCAGCAAGACCAACTGCAGGGTTAATATCAGAATTAGAAGTGTTTAAGAAAAAAAATATCCAATACCCAAACTGCACTTACAAGAAAATACTGTGATTTTCCTCAAAGTTTACCATATTGATTTCAATTACCTCGTATCAGGCGCTGAGTCTCACTGTGCAGTTTTTTTAATGCTTCCTTACTTAATTTGGCTGCCTTTCTTTCCTTAAAGAAAACAAAAAGTGAGACCTTAGTGGTATGATCCAGAAAGACAGATATTTATTTCTTAATACTTAGTTCTTGCCAAGAAAAGAGAATGAACTATGAGCACTAATAAACCTCAATCCAGGGCCAGCCTGATAACTCAGGAGACTACAGCTCCTGCTTAGGCAGAGCGGCGGTGTTTGATTCCCGGTGTGCCATGTCGGCCTGTCTGCGAGGTATGTTGAGAGGGTGACTGAGACTGGGTGTGGAGGCGTGCACCTCAATACAGTATAAATTCAAGAAATTCTGAGACTTATTTGAAAATCTCAGAAAGTTAACTCAATCCATATTCATGATCCTACTATGCATAAAGCAAATAATGGGTACCATGAAAATAGGACAGACAGATAAAATACTGAGAAACCCACAGTCTCCTGTGGGAAGACATCGATGTGACCATTACTCATCTACCTTACCTTTTTCATGGTGCCTTTTGGTAACTCACTCTCTTCCTCAAATGAGAAAACCCCACTCTCCAAAGAAGATTCCTTTTTCTGAAAAAAGATTGGAAGTTGATTATAAGAACAAAAACTTAGGGCCAGCGCGATAGCTCGGCAGACTAAAGCATCTGCTTGGACAAGTTTAGGCAAGCACAGGGATGCAGCTGAATGCCTGACACACGCCATGCCAGAAAGCAGGAGGATCGCCACAAGTCTGAGCTAGTAGTGAGACCCTGCAACACTCAAATACATTAAAAAAAAAAAAAAAATTAAAAAAGGATGTTTCTTACTACATCATGCTACTTTACCAACAAATCAGTAATCATCAAATAGAAAATTTTAAGCTCAATGCAGTGGCTCACATCTATAATACCAGCTTGGGGGTGGGGGGCTGCTAAGAAAGGAAGACTGAAAGTTCGAGCCCAAACAACTTAATGAGGTCCTGTCTTAAAATAAAAATGAAAAAGGATGTGCAATACAGTGCAGCAATAGAGTGCTTGCCTAATACATGTGAGGCCTTAGGTTCTATCCCAGGACTGCAAGGACAAAAAAAAAAAAAAAAAAAAAAAGAGAGAGAGAAAGTAAAAAGACTAGATATCTCAAATGGAATTTGGACTCGTATTTCTTTTATCTGTTGATATATTTTCCTAAGAAGGAGCAACAACTTCAAGGGAAGGAAAGAAAATCCTAGAAAAAAGTTATCTTCTTTTTTGGGGGTGGCAGTGGGTTAATACTAGGGGTCATATCAGGGTCTCACACATGCCAGGCAAAGCACTCCACCAAGCTATACCCCTAGCTCTTAATGCTTTCAAACAATCACGTTTTAACCCATGCGTCTCTATCACTGAGTTGCACCGCCAGCCTCTGCCTCCTGAAACCCTACACAGTGATTTTTGTTTTCTTTCTTTTTTTTTCCATGGTACCGGGGATCAAACTCAGGATCTTACACTTGCCAGACAGATGCTTATGCCACTGAGCTATCTCCCTAGCTCCACGTGATTTTTCAGAGACCCCATGATTATAAAATTTACAACTCTTACCAATTATTTACCTGCTTCTTACCACAACACCAAGTACAGTATACCTCACCTCCCACCAAGATCCCTAAAAAGGCTGTAACAAAATACGTACTAATTTTCAAGCAAATTAGCATGTCTATCACCTGTACTGCAAGTTTCCAAAATTAACAACTGAAAAATCAATCAACACATGTTTTTCTTCACTAAATAAAATTTAGGTTGCTCTAATCCCTGCTACTCAGGAGGCTGAGACAAGAAGACTGCAAATTTGAGACCACGTTGGGCCACTAGTGAGACCCTGTCTCAAAACAGAAGGCTTGCCCAGTGTGTACAGGCCCTGAGTTCAATCCCTTGTACTGGAAAAAAAAAAAAAAAAAAAAAAAAGGATAAAGGAAAAGGTTGTAATACATTTTTGAAATAAAAATAAACATATATAAAAAATAAAAAATAAACATCAGAATAGTTGGCTGACCAGCCAAATAGCTCAGCAGATTAAAGTGCCTGCAAGCATGCACAGGGGCTGGGGTTCGATGCCCAGGCCTGCCATGCTGGCCCCACCCCTGGGGCCTACTGAGACAGCAATTGAGACTGGGCATGGTGACATGCACCTGTAATCCCAGCTCTTGGGAGGCTGTAAACAGGAGAATCACGATGCGTCCGATCTAATAGTGAGACCCTAAACACCCTTGTAGACCCTTCCCTAAAATACAGAAAAGATAGAATAGTTGGCTAACTTACTATAATCATGCTTCACCTACCTTGTGATTTTTTACTTTGTTCTTCACAGCAGCCCTTATTGATTCCAGTGATTCTTCATCTTCCAATGGAGCATTATTTTCCTCCTCCAAACCCGTTTCAAAAAGGTCTTCGTCTGCAAGAAGACAGCCACTGTCATTCAGTGGCTGTTCGGCATTATTTTCCTGGACAACACATAAAGAAAAGGTAATGATCCAATCATGCTAAAGTCTCACATTGTACAGTATTACATTGCACCGTGGAATAAGCCAGAAAAACTCTTTCATCAAAAAACAATTATGGGGGCTGGAGAGATGGCTCAGTTGTCTAAAGCACCTACTTGGAACAAGCTTAGCAAAGCCATCAGGGACCGCGGTTCAATCCCCCAGCACCACATGCCAGCCAGCCCTGCCCCCTGGTGGGCTGAACTGGCCACACACACACACACAAAATAAATAAATTAATTAAAAAATAAATAAATAAAAACAAAAAAAAATTAAACAAAAAAAACAAACAATTATGGCATCATCTAGAGCATTTTTAACATTTTTACTGGGTTTCTGCTGCCATTTGTTTTTGCTTTTTGAGACAGGGTTTCACTATGTAGTTCAGGCTGGCCTCAGAACTTGTAGCAATCCTCCTGCCTCAGCCTCCTAAGTATTGGGATACCAGCTGTATGCCACCACACCTGGCTTCTTCCTAGTTCTTTGCTATGTTTTTGTTTTCATTTTGTGGTACTGGGGATCAAACTCTGGACCTTATGCTTGTCAGGGAGGTGCTTAGGCCATTGAGCTACCTCTCAGCCCTCTTACCACCATTATCATTTGAAATTCAAGCTGTGATATTTATATAGCTAGCCAACATTAACTTAGTAAGCAGCAAAGATTTTTTGAAAAATCAACTAAAAACTTATGGAGCAGCTAGTTGATAAAACTTGAGTTTATTTCTAGTTAACAAACTTGCTACATTAAAAAAAAAAAAAAATTCCTGGGCCAGGGAAATAGCTCAGTAGAATAAACGCTTGCACAGCAAGCACAAGGTCCTGAGTTCAATCCCCGGTAACGAAAAAAAAAAAAAAATTCCCTTCAGGTTTGATCTCCAGGCCTGCCATGCCGGCCCCTTCTCCAGGACGCACTGAGAGGGCAATTGAGACTGGGCATGGTGGTGCGCACCTGTAATCCCAGCTCTTAGGAGGCTGTAAACAGGTGGATCACTACAAGTCCGATCTAGTAGTAAGGACCTGAACACCCTGTAGACCATTCCCTAAAATACAAAAAAAAAAAAAGAAAAGAAAAAAATTCCTTTCAGAGTTAATTTTCATCAGATCAGGAACAGTAAAGAATTACTCTACATATTCACAAAGAAAATCAGAAACATTTATTTTGAAGCATCCTCTAAATATCTGCAACAGTGAATATGATCAGCAAGTTTTTGGTTTTTTGAGACAGGGTCTCACTATGTCACTCAGACTGGTCTTGAATTCACTACAAACCCCAGGCTGGCCTAGAACTTGCAGTGATTCTCCTGCCACAGCCTCCCAATGGCTAGGGTTACAGGCATGTGCCACCACACCAGACTACAACCAGTAAGTTTTAAATCACATATGCAATCAATTCTATATGCAATCAGTTGAAAGGTATATTCTGAGCACAGAAACAACTAAAAGCCACTTTTTCGAAAAGGTTAATATTCATAAGAAAAAAATATTCTTTAAAATGTACCTCATGCTGGGGGCATAGCTCAGTTGCACAGCATTTCCTGAAGGTTTTTTTTTTGGCAGAACCGGGTATTGAACTCAAGCCCTTGCACTTGCCGGGGAAGCACTTATTCTACTGAGCCATCTCCCTGGCCCTTGCACACATTTCCCTAGCATGCATGAGATGGTCCTAACACCACAAAGAAAAAAGTACTTCAGTGAATAAATACAGGATATGTGGATCTTGGCATGATGGTGCCCATCTGTAAACCCAGCACTTGGGAGGCTGAGCCAATAGGATCGTTGTGAGTTCGAGGCCAGCCTGGGCTACAAAGCAAGCTCAGGGCCAGCCTGAACTGCATAGCAAGGCCCTATCACAGAAAGACAAAAACGGGGCTGGGGAGATAGCTCAGCAGCTTAAGCGCCTGCCTGACAAGTGCAAGGACCTGGGCTCAATCCCCAGTACCACACACTATGCCAATCCTAGAATCCCAGGCGTGCTGTGCCAGCTACTGAAACCAGATGTGGTGGCACACGCCTGTAAATCCAGTGCAGGGAGGGCTGGGGAAATGGCTCAGTAGAATAAGCACTTCCCTGGCAACTGCGAGGGCCTGAGTTCAATCCCCAGTTCCACCAAAAAAAAAAAAAAAAAAAAGTCACACACACAAAAAAATCCAGTGCAGGGGAGGCTGAGACAGGAAGATCACTATGAGTACAAGCTGCATAGTGGGACCCTGTACCAAAACCATACATCAACTTTTAAAAAATCAAGAGTATGTGAGATACACCTTATTCAACCATTAAAAATAATGAAATTCGGCTGGTGAGATGGCTCAGTGGTCTAAAGTACCTACTTAGAACAAGCTTAGCAAAGCACAGGGACCGTGGTTCAATCCCCCAGCACCACATGCCAGTCAGCCCCGCCCCCTGGGCTACAAAGCCTGGGCTACAAAGCAAGCTCAGGGCCAGCCTGAACTGCATAGCAAGGCCCTATCACAGAAAGACAAAAACGGGGCTGGGGAGATAGCTCAGCAGCTTAAGCGCCTGCCTGACAAGTGCAAGGACCTGGGCTCAATCCCCAGTACCACACACTATGCCAATCCTAGAATCTGGCCACACACACACACACACACACACACACAAATAATTTTTTTTAAAAGTTCACTTTAAAAATAATAATGAAATTCTGTCATTTGCAGTAACTTGGATGAACTGGAGGATATCATGCTAAGTGAAATAAACCATGCAGAGAGATGTTAAAAAGTTGATCTCAAGCGTTTGCCTGGTAAGCCAAGGGCCTGAGTCAATCCCCAGTTCTGCTCCCCCCCCCCCCGCAAAAAGTTGATCTTACAGAAGTAGAGAATAGTGCTTACCAGAGCCTCTGCACTGTGTGAGGATGCACAAGGTGGTTAACGAATAGGTTTGGTTGAATAGGAGGAAGAACTTATACATTCTATAGCACAGCAGAATAACTGGGGTTGACAATGCCTACCTGGGAGAATCAGAAGTTTGAGGCCAGCCTCAGCAACTTACTCAGTGAGACTTTGTTCTCCACCAAAAAAAAATTGGCTGAGGATATAGCTCAGAACTCCAGCTTTAATCTTGAGTATTGTACAGTGCCACAAAAATTCAGAGGGGATAGATTAGCCAACTACCTTGACCTGCTCACACACTGTATACATCGTAGAAATATACTATTCCCCATAACTATGTATCAATAAAAATGAAATATAAACCAGGCATGGTGGTGTATGCTTATAATGCCATAAAGGTTGAGGCAGGAGAATCACCAAATTCAAGGCCAGCCTGTACAACTTAGCAAGAGCAAAATCTTGTCTCAAAATAAAGAGCTAAGGATGTAGCTCAGTATCTCCTGGGTTCAATCCCTGATATCCCTCCCCACCCCCATATACACCATTTATATAATATGAATAAAGACTGCATTATATAGTTAAGAAACACACCTCATTTTTTGTTTCCTTCTTTTTTAACTGTCTAATTTTTTCCATCTTTCTCTCCTCTTTCTCAAGTCTTCTCTTTGATTTTACTTTCGCTTTTCCCCTCCTTCCTTCTTGATTGTGTACAGACTTTTTGGAAGTCTTTGTGTCTGTGGTAAAGTTCACAGAGTTTCCAGATTGGAAACTCAGCTCCAAGCAAGGTGTCACTTCAGTTTTAGGATTTTCTTGAGAAAAGGACTCTTCCACATTACTTTCATCACTGTCAGCCAGAGTTTTGTAAATCCTTTTGATTTTTCTACTTTTTGCAGCATAGAGGTTCTCTTTCTCTTCCTCAGCGCTGTCACAGGTAGGTTTCTCTGGAGTGGCATTTGTGTCCTCAGTTTCAGAATCACTGTATTGTATCACCTTCCTGTTCTTCAGCTTCTTACTCATGAATATCTCTTCATCTGAATCTGGAGAAAACAATTGTTTAAGAAGGCACACAATCATTTAGTTTTTTGCTTAGTTCCATTACTTCTGGAAAAAATACTCCATTATTCACGTGGTACAGCACCTTGTGAAATTATGTAACTACCATTAAGAGCTGATTGTAGCAAAGTATATCTAAAAATATATTGTGAAAAACATTTTCCTTGAAAAAAATGTTTCTTGCTGAGAAGTGTAATTATATATATTTATAACGTGTAAAGTTGTTCTAATCCTTCTGGCAGGTGTTAAAAAATCCTTGTATCATAAGATGAATGCATTTAGCCAGGCAATGTAGTAGCTATTAAACATTTTATATGTTCAAGAATATAAGAGAAATGGATATTTTTAAAAAGGTGTAAGCATTATTTTGCTTTTATAACAAAAAGAAATAATAAGGATGGAGCATTAACAACTTAATATACCAAGAAAATAAAGAAACTGATCCAGGGCCAGGGAGATGGCTCAATGAAATAAACGGTTCCCTGGCAAGTGCAAGGGTGTGAGTTCAATCCCTGGTTCCACAAAAAAAAAAAAAAAAAAAAAAAAGAAAGAAACTGATCCAATCCATTTATAACACAGGCTCCCAAATTTTAGCCATAAAATTAAAGTCTTAAATATTACAAACCTCTTTCAATCAAGGGCTCAATTGTTTCAAAGCTGCCTTGTCCACTGTCTGAAGGACTGTCTGCTCCTTCTTGTGAAATAAGTTTTAGATCATTGACTTCTAGGCAAATCTAGACAATAAGAATAAACTGTATTAATTAGGACAAGACAGAGTTCCAAGTAGACACTGCTACACAAATCACCCTGGTGTCTTCAAGCTGAAGTAAGAAACTACAATGGCTTGATGAAGTGTTGACACTTAGAGGTTACTGAACAAAAAATGCTACAAATTTGAAGAATGCTAATTGAACAAACTTTTTAATTATAATCATTATACAATTATAATTGCATAAATTAGTGGGGTTCACCATGAGCTCTTCATATACATATATACATCACATCCATCCACCCTTCTACCCTTGCCATCTCCTTCCTAGGCCTTAGGAGCCCCCTTTTTTACATTCAATTTATCTTTTTCCCCCTAAGTATTTATATATAAGAAAAAGCTATATTCATCTTTCTGTGTTTGGCTTTTTCTGTTTAATACAATGTGCTCCAGTTCCACCCATTTTCCTGCAAATGACAGGATTTCATTCTTCTTTGGCTAAATAATATTCAATAAGGTATGTACACCATCTTGTACTATGGATAACCACTAAGAAGATAACAATGTACAGTGTATTGACTATCAAAACTGTCTTATTCATCAGCTGTGGAACTGTCTCATTCATATTTATTTCTCAATTAAAAAAAAAGGTATGTACACCAGTTTCTATAGCTGTTCATATCTTGGCAGACATCTAGGCTTATTCTATATCTTAGCCATTGCTGTAATCAACACAGGTAACCAGGTATCTCTTAATTCAATGTATCAAGAAGAATAATGAAATTAAGCCCAGATTTCATTTCTAAGAACTAACTCTTTGAGTAATGGTAAATAAATAAAAGAATCAAACATTTATTATGCTTTCTCTGCATGATCTATTCCTTGGTATGCCCAAATAAGTGAAGGGAACTGTTCCTTCAGAGAAACATCCTACTTAATGAAGAAATGACAGAATTAGAGAAATCACAATTTTAGCAACCATTGAAAATAACAGACCTAAGTAATAATCATTTATTGCTGCTGACATTACCAGAAGAAAAACCAGACACTATTATAGCCTAACAGAAGTACCCAGCACCCCTATCTAGAAAAATTAGTCAGAACAATCAGATCTAAATCTTGTGGCATAATTGGCCATTTTTACAAAATACGTGGAACACAGGAAGATGTCAGATAATAAAGATACAACCTAGGTGTGGAGAAACTCTATAAGACAATACAGGTGGTGTCTTTAAAAATATATTACAGGAAAAAAAAATATATATATATTACAGGATAAAATAAGAGGGAGTAGGTGCCTATAGATTAAAGGGTTAAACTGGGCACGATAGTACACATCTCTACCCCCAGCTACTCACAAGGTTGAGGCAAGAGGATTGCATTCTCTGACAGTCCGGGCAATTTTTTTTTTTAATTTTATTTATTTATTTATTTGTGTGTGTGTGGCGCCAGCTCAGCCCACCAGGGGGCGGGGCTGGCTGGCATGTGGTGCTGGGGGATTGAACCGCGGTCCCTGTGCTTTGCTAAGCTTGTTCTAAGTAGGTGCTTTAGACCACTGAGCCATCTCACCAGCCCAGTCTGGGCAATTTAAATAAAGAAAAAGATAAATTAGATGAAGCTTATGCCTTGTTATTTTATACAAATTAACAAAAGGTCTTTTTTTTTTTGTTGTTCCTCCAATGCCTTCAGGGCACTTTTGGCCAGCTGGAGAGTTGTGAGGTTCGAACTCCAGCAGCCTGAGGCTGACAGCTTTGTGGAAGCAGCCACTTAAAGGACTGAGCTAGGGCCAGGGCCCCTAACAAAAGGTCTTAAATAAAAAGGGCTGGGGATGTAGTTCAGTGTTCCTTAGGTTCAATCATCATTTCCACAAGAAATAAAATGGATACACACACGTACACCCATCAACAATTGCAGTAACCTAAAAGAGGAGCTAGATGATTTGATCAATACATGTCAGGTGTCCTTCAAGGCTTTGAATCAACTTTTTTTTTTTTTTTTAAATCTTTTTAAGACAGATCTCCCTATGCAGTTCAGGCTGGACTTGAGCTCACTTTGTTGCCCAGGCTGGTCTTGAACTTGTAACAATCCTCCTGCCTCAGTTTCCTGAGAGCTGGGATTACAGGGATGTGCTACTATGCCCAGCTTCAATTTACTAATAAGGGGGAAATACTAACATCTGTAACATAACAGGGCACAAGCTTCATCTAATGATTTTTTTTTTTTTTTTTTTGTATTTTAGGGAAGGGTCTACAGGGTGTTCAGGTCTCACTACTAGATCGGACTCATAGTGAGTCCCCCGTTTACAGCCTCTCAAGAGCTGGGATTACAGGAGTGGCCACCACACCTAATCTCAATCGCCTCAGCATGCCCCAGGGGTGGGCAGGCTGGCAGGGCCGGGGATCAAACCCCTGGCTCCTGTGCCTGCAAGCAGGCACTTTAATCCATTGAGCTATTTGGCCAGCCCTCATCTAATGATTTCTGAAGAACCAAACAAATTTGAATGTTTGGCAGGCACAATTGTTAAAATAACAACCTGTTGAGGAATCACTGAAGACTACCATGTATATATAGTATGTGCTGATGACCTTCCAACAACTCAAAGCGGGAACAGTACTGGTTTTGTTTACCCACTCTTAATGATCCTCCTGCTCAGCCTTCCGGAGCCCTGGGATTACAGGTGTGTGCCACCATATCCCGCAAGAGAAATAAACCTTAATGTAATATATCTTCAAAAACCAAAATAGCAAATCATGCCTCATTAACTCAGCTACCTGCTTTTTATAAATAGTTTTACTGGAACTGGAGCTTTTAGTATTGGATTAGGGTGATATGAGCCCGGATCCTGCAGATACTACCACTAAGTCTGCCAGGTGTAGTGGCCAAACCTGTAATCCCAGCACTGGGGAGTCTGAGGCACGAGGATCGGATCGTTGCAAATTCGAAAACAGCCTGGGCTACGAAGTGAGCTTAAGGCCAGTCTGAACTACATAGAGACACCCTGTCTCAAAAATAGACAAAGATAATAAAATCGCACTAATTAATTTAATTGTATAATTCTATTACTAGGTGTTTTGTTTTGTTGACCGGGGATTGAACTCAGGATCTTACTTTTGCCAGGCAATCGCTTATTCTACTGAGCTATTTCCCCAACCCTCATTGGGCGTTTTGATGCCACCTTAAATTTTGCTCACAAGAGCCCGAAAATGGATGTTTTTCGCCGAGCCGTCAACCACCAGTCCAGACCCTGTCCGAAAATGCAGGGCACCAGCGCGTACGACCCCCAAGGTGCTGCCTCCCAGGCCCAGCTGAGCTCGCTAACGCCGCGGCACGGTGTTTACAAAGCTCCCGCCCGGCAGCGCCGCGGCCGGAAGGGCCTCCTCTCTGCGGGAGGAGCTCCCGGGCCAGGAAACGCGCCAAAGCGAAAGGCGGCCTGAAGGAGAGGCTGGGCCGCCCCGGCGGGCCTGCGCGCCGCGGACCGCAGGAGCCCCGCGGCCGTCTGGACCGAGCGCGGGAAGGCGGCGGGGTCCCCACGCGAGGCCGCAGGCCCATCCGGCCGAGGGGAATCCTTCTACCCCGCGCCCCGCTCCGTGCGACCCAGTCCCACCCCTCGGTACGGCTCAGCAGACCGGGTGGGAGTCGTAGGTATAAACTCACCTCCGAACCCACCTCGCCCGTCATGATGCCCGTCTCCCCCGCGTTCTCTCGGGGAGACGCTGGCTTCCGTTCGTTCTGCTTCAGAGGGGCTAACCCCGCAGGATCCACCCCGGCAGGCAGCGCAGTTCAAGCTTTCGCGCCCAGGAGGAGTGGAGGCTCCACCCTCTATGATTTGCACCAATCCAGAGGCGGCTTTCCAGATGAGACCCCGCCCCCACACGTCCCACCAATCACGAAACGCCTGCGAGCGGCGCACCTAACAAACTCTGGGTTGGTTTGGCGGGTCCGGAAGACTTGTCCGTGGAACCCTTGAGGGAGGTTGGAGGTGTTTTTGACATTTCACCTTTGCCACAGTTTGAATGACTGCACCGAGGGAAATTTAAGGAGTAGTGATCCAAGCTAAAATAATCTGGGAATAGACCTGGGCACCCGGGGTCTTTTTCTGACAAACTTTGAGGCCCCATTTGAGATTATCACCGCTAACTTCATACCTTTAGCATTAAGACCCTGTTTGCCACTTTTTGTACATAACACTTCTCACTAAACAGTAAAAAGTTTTGCATGCTGCTCAGACACCAAAGAACGTCCTTGGATAATCTTTATTTATTTATTTAATATTTATTTGTGTGTGGCCAGCTCAGCCCACCAGAGGGCGGGGCTGGCTGGCATGTGGTGCTGGGGGATTGAACTGTGGTCCCTGGTGCTTTGCTAAGCTTGTTCTAAGTAGGTGCTTTAGACCACTGAGCCATCTCACCAGCCCTGGATAATCTTTATTAACTTAGTGTATTTAGGATTAACTTGAAGTTACAGAAACTTCACTAAAATGAAAGCTTTGGGGGCCGGGGAGATAGCTAAGTAGAATAAGCGCTTGCCTGGCAAGTGCAAGGCCCTGAGTTCAATCCCTGGTGGTGGTGGGGGAGCTTTGGAGTAAGGTTTTACCCTCCCAGTTTTGCCACTATGTGAATTATAATTTTTATCTCTCAGGGGCAGTTCTCTGTCCTTTGTTTTTCCCTTGTTTGTATTCTGGCAAGGCTGACCCCTCTGGATTCTTATTACCCCAGCTCCCTTCCACTCTGGCTGGTTTGGTCAGGGAACTGTAAGGTACTTTTCAAGGTTATTGTACAGAACTGGTTTAGTTCTGCCTAAAAATAAAATTTTATCTATTTGTCTATTGTTGCTCAAAGAAGACAGGCATTTTTGCTTTTTTTTTTCTTTTTCTTTCTTTTTTTTTTTCTTTTTTTCTTTTTTTTGACTTTTTTTCCTGCTATATCTTAACTATGTAGATAGTCATCCTCCAACATGAACATGCATAATAGTGATCTGAAAGGCTGGCAAAAAGACAGATTGCTAGGGCTGGCCAGATAGCTCAACAGATTAAAGCACCTGATTAGGCAGACGCAGGTCCAGAGGTTCCATCCCCGGCCTGCCATGCTGGCCCTGCTCCCAAGGCTTGCTGAGATGGTGATTGAGGCTGGGTGTCATGCCAGCACTGGGGAGGCTGAAAAACAGGATCACTACAAGGTGGCTGGCAAATTAGAGAGGTGGTGCGGGGTCAGCTCTAGAGGAAAAGGATTTCTTGAGACTGTGAAAGAAGGAAGCTTCTGAGTGTGAATCTCCCATGGGACTGGACATCCTATTGATCCAGAATGGCTACTGCAGGCAGCTCTTGGCCCAAACCTCTGGGCCATTCACAGAGGGTGCTGTCTCAGGCTGTAAAGGATCTCTATGATGACTCTAAGCTGTCCCTAGAGGAAAGAGATAATGCAGCTGTTGGCAGCATGCTTACTATCTCCATGATCCAGAAAGGATGTACCGCCCATGGGAAAAGGGTAGACAGTGAACCCTGGGCTGAGAGAGTGCCAGAGGCTGATTATGAGGCAGTCCCTGCAGAGGCCTATCGGCTGGCAGAGTATGGACTGGAAACCTGGCAAAGCCATTGGCCAAATCAAGTGGTGAAATCATGTGTAAACTCTGAGGCCCAAGGGATTAGGGTGGGGTGTCAATCTGGCCAAGGCCCAGGCCGCCCCTTCCAGTGACTGATTCTGCCCACCAAAGCCAGATGGGGAGCAAGAGAAGGACATGGAAGATCAAATTGAGGGGCTGGTGCCTGGAAGATATGTTGTGATCCTGGCCCTCACTGGCCTTCCACTTCTATGGGAAAGTGGAAAGCCTTGATCCTGTATGTGTAGCCCATGTTTCATCTAGCACTGGACCATTGCATAGTGAATCTTAGTGACTACTACCTGCAACCTGTGTCCCAGCAGCAGTTAGACAAGAATTCCTTGAACCCTGTCCAGGTGAGCAGAACTTGCTCTGGGCAACACACTGGGACAGCCCTGTCATGGAAGGCTCTCAAGAGTGAATACCTGCATGGCTGGCAGGCAGACTCAGAGAGGAAGTGGAACCATGCTCTGAAGAGACAGTGTGGGCTGTAGCCAAGGGAAAGAAAACAGCTAGCAGGGGTCAGCTGTGGCTGCACAGGGACCTGTGTGTGCAGCTCAAGGACAAGCTGCATGAGGGGGACCAGCATTACAACACCAAGATGACAAGTGAAAATGTCCTGAGCCCAGATCCACGTATGCGAGGACAGAGGAAGGGCAAGTTCTGGGAGACACAGGGAAAGACATGCTGGAGACGCCGGTTCCCAAGATCAAGGTAGCTCGTGTGATGGGGCTGCTGGGGCCATAGGCTGGAAAGGCAGGACATCCACTGGGCAGGGACAGTGCATGGCTTTGGTTCAACTGAGCAGATCACTTGGTGGTGCTTCACTACAGTGCCCTGTGCCAGTGCATGGGCCCCAGGGACTTAGATGCTGACCGTGGGACAGCCTTGCAGGCTATTAATTTTTAAAAATCCTTTACTTATTTATGTATTTGGTACAGGGTCTCAGTATGTAGCTCAGACTCATAGTTGTCTTCCTATCTCAGCCTCCCCAGAGCTGGGATTACAGGCATGTACCACCACACCGGGTTTTGGTGACTGGCACAGAGCAAGGGCCGGCATGGCATGTGGTGCCGGGGATTAAACCTGGTCCTTGCACTTGCTAGGCAGGCACTTAGACTACTGAGCTATCTCCCTGGCCCCCAGGCTGTTAATAGTTTTATTTTATGAGGAGATAAACAAACGAAAATCCAAACCGTTGTACTGTTGTGCCATACATGAATGGACCCTTCCCCTCACAAATCACAAGACTATTGTTTGTTTCCCGAGTATCATGAAATTCAAATATTTGGTTTAATTGGTTAAAAAATTCAATTCTGAGATTATATGGTCATGAAAAAATAAATCACGGAGCTTAACATGCTCAGCTCACTCCTAAGTACTCTGTGTATTTGCCTCTGGGTAGAGACAAACCTAAGCAGACACAAAAGCTTAAGACATTTTGGAGAAGCCCATCACTGTGGCACTTGGCTATAACCCCAGCACTAGGCAGAAGGATTGTCAGTTAGTGTCCAGCCTAGGATATATAGCAAGACTCTATCTCCAAAAGCAAATGCCTTTACTTCTTTTCCTGAAAATCGAGAAAGGCAAGCCTGATACATTTTTACTACTGTTATTTCTCTGGAGTAAAGTTTGAAAACTTCTTGCATTTCTAATGTCTTGGACCAATATATCTCCATCCCTGGGCAAGCACTGCCACCACTTGGCAGGTCTTGGTCATGTCATTCCTTCTATTGTCTGTAGCCACTATGCTAAATAAACCTTTTTGGGGCATGGATGGTTGGAGGATCATTTTAATTTCACCCAGAGTCATTTAAACTTTCCTTTGATGGCTAAATTAGTCACATCTCCCAGGATTTTATTTTTAAAAAAGTATTTCCTATTTTAATTCCAAATAGTTTCAAAGCTCTTGGAGAGTGTCCTGCTTGGAGACCAGGGCTGTTTCTTTGCTTAATATAATACCTCTTTTGGGAATTGAACCCAGGGCCTTCATGCTGAGCTACATCTCTGGACTATTTTTAGTTTTTACTTTGAAACAAGGTCTCACTAAGTTACTAAATTGCCCAAACTGGGCTCAAACTTGTCTTCCTCATGCCTCAGCCTCCCAGAGTGCTAAGATGACAGGCATGGGCTTCGTGATCTTTCAAAATGGCTCAGAACCTAAAACCCAGAGGATATTTAATACATAATAGTTTAATGGCTAACTATAACACTGTCACAACAAAACAAAACAAAGATATCAGGATCTTTCCACTAAGTATCACAGCACAGAAATAATTAGCTCTCCTGTGTGTGAAAGCTCCCTTTACCACAACTTTGGGCAACCTAAAGCACCTATAAAATATCCCTCCAGGGGCTGGGGAGATGGCTCAGTGGAATAAGCACTGCCCGGGCAAGCGCAAGGGCCTGAGTTCAATCCCCGGTTCTGCTAAATAAATAAAATAAAATATCCCTTCAGCGGGGCATAGTGGTACATGCCTGTAATACCAGAACTCAGGAAGCTGAGGCAGGAGGATCACCATGAATTTGAGGCAGCCTGGACTACAAAATGAGCTGAAGGCCAGCATGAGCTGCATAGCAAGACCCTGTCCCTCCAGCAAACCTCAAGCACCTACTGTAAGTTTTTTTCTAGACATGAAGAATGTAAAAATGAATAAAATAAAGCCTTGTTCTCAAAGAACTGGCTGGAGACAGGCAAGCCAAAATCCTGTAGTGTGGAGGTGTGGACAGGAAGCTCTGGGGTCCTTGAAGGGGAAACAAGGACTATGGCTTGGGTAGGTTGGGGGAAATGACTTACACCCTGAATTTCAAAGATGAATTGGAGTTCCCAAGGCTGGCACAGGGTAGAGAAAACATTTAAAAAATGTGCAGGGGCTTGATAAATCATGTTGTGTTTGGGGAACTGAAAGTAGGTCAGTATGACTACAGCACAGGGTGTGTTTGTAGAGTTGGGAAAGTGGCCAGAAAGAAGGCTGAGAGTTACGTAGCGAGCCAAAGGTCTGGACTGTCAACCCTAGAGTTGAGTTTTTACATAGAATGAACGAGGCAGCTGGAGAGTGGGGATAGAGGTTGCTAAGGAGACTGGTATGGTCAGATCTATACT